TGAAATAACCAATCCATAAAAACCAAAGCTGAACGTTTTCTCTCATATGTGGATGCTAATTCACAATGGGGGCGTGCTAGGGAAGAATAGAGTTACTTTAGGTAGAGGGGTGTGAAGGGAGGGGAGTGGTATGGGGATAGGAAGGTTAGTAGAATGAATCAGACATTATTATCCAATGTACATGTATAACTGTACCACTAGTGGGATTCTATATCATGTACAACCAGAAGAATGAGAAATTATACTCCATTACATATAATGTATCAAAGTGCATTCTACTGTCATGTATAACTAATTAAGACACATAAAAATTTTAAAAAAGAAAAAAATAATACATATACAGGTAATATTAACATTTTTGTTGCCCTTTCTTTTCTCATATTCTTCAAAAACTTCCTAAATCTTAAAATGTAGTTTTAGGAAAATAAAAATCACATAGTTTTAGAAATAATTATTTATGGTATAGTTAGGCTTTTCCTTAGGGAAACATAATAATGGAATTGGAAGAACAATGAGGCCTCAAGTCTCTCATCTTTAAATGAAATGGTTGAGTTAGAAATGGTTTATCAGAATCACCCATTCGCTAGTCAGGCAGGTTCCCTTACTTCTCTATCTCCACCTACTCATCCTAGCACATATCAATTTGGCAAGTCTGGTGTGTAACCAAAGAATCTGCAAATTGATTTTCTTGCATGTGGTCTGAAAATGATGTTTTTGGAAATAAAGAAAATGTCTTCATAAAATTTCTTCCACTTGCGTCATTCTTCAATAAAAAGAATCTTAACAGATTTACCAAAATTTCGCTCATCTCCCGTAAGCGCTCCAACTGGTATGTGCTCTTTTGTCCAGAATTGCTATTGACTTGAAGATCTGAAATTTTAAAGGTGCCATGATAGTATTCCATTTTCTCACCTGTGATGAAAATGGGAAGTAGGAAATTAAAGTATTTGGGCAAATATTTCAGGATCTAAGACATAACTGCAATAGAGCTAATATGAAGTCATAAAATATCATGAGCTTCTTTCTAATTTCATAAAAATTACAATTAAGTTTTATGTTAATAACATTGTCTGGCATTTATTAAGTAGTAACTATGTGCCTGGCACTGTTCTGTTTACTTTATTAACTCATCTGAGCCTTACACCAGCTAAGATTGGCATCACTCCATTTAATAGATGAGGAAAGTAAAATACAGTGGTATTAAGTAACTTGCTCTATGTTATACAACTATTAGGTGACCTATTCAAGTTTTGAACCCTAATTGGTCTGGCTCTAGAGTGTGAATGTTCATTACTTCATTTCCCCTTGCTGAGCTGAAATGTAAACCACCATACATATTCTACTGAAAGTAGATTAAATGGACATCCTATAAATTCTGATTTGTAATGACAGACCCAGGTATAGCTAAGAAAACATGAAAAGAAAAACTAAGGAAAAAAGCAGTCTGAGGTTGCAGTGAAAACCATTGTAACAGAGATAAGTCATTCAGATTCCTGCTTGGCTATCAGGAAAGGTAAGAAAAGAGAGAGCATTGGAGACTCCTGACAAATTTGGTAACCTTAGGAGAAAGGCTCAGAGAGGTCAAGAAAGCAACAAAAAATTCATGACAGAGAATGGAGTAACCTTTAAAAAATCTGGGTTCTTGGGCATCCCAGTTCAAGTAGAAAACAATGGGTTTCCTGACTAACTTTCACATTTCAATGGGTACAGATTTTCTGATTCTCTTTGGATAAATTCATGTTGCTCTAGCCTTCCTTTTACAGAAAGAGGACATTTTGTCTTTTATTTTGGTTAAGGTCATCTTGACCTGAGGGAAGGTATTAGTTAAAAGAATCAGGAAAGAGGAATCTTAGGACTGTCTCCTAAATTGAACATCTCTGGACCATGTAATATTTTTCTCTTCTTGATTACTTATCTAATATAATCCATATCAAACCTTACTCTCATAGAAAAGGGGCTTTTGTGCAATCAAATAAATTTTTAGTCATTCCCATAAACTACAGTTGGACTCATTACATAAGGCCCAGGAGTATGGTCATAATAAGCATGTTTAGTCTCCTAATGGCACTGTCACTCCCTCCTCAAGTCTGTGGAAGGTGGAAAGAGACAATACCATTCAAGTAAGCAGCCTGGGCTACTTATTTTACCACATACATTCATATGAGAATGGCTTTTTAGAGATTTGTCAAAAAAATGTAAATGGTTTTTATTCTGCCCACAGAGAGATGGCAAATAAAAAGAAAATTTCCTAATGCGGTACTTGTGTAATCACAAACATACTAGGTAATAAAAATATAATCCTTGCATATTGTTTTGAAAGAATAATTTTTTTCTTTAAAACTTAGTGATGACATCATGTCATACTTTATACATTATTTTGAAATTCATTTTTTCATCAGAGACATGTTTTTCTTTTAACCTAGAAATACTAGTGGGCAGAAAATGGTGATCATGAGTAAAAGAGTCAATTTTCATGACAAATTCATCACAGTTTTTTATTCAATATATAATAGATGGTGAGAGTTGTTTTCTATGGTTACTAGTAAACTAAATTTAAGAATGAAAATTTTCGACATTTTATGTAGATTTTTAGAATAATACTGGATTGGGAACTCTAATGGAATAGAAGATTCATCTACTTTGCTTAATGCTATATCCAGAGCACACAGAAAAGTATTTGTATGAAATAGATATTTAGTAACTATTTCTAATGAAATTACAGAGTAAATTTTTAAAACTCTGAATGGGGACATTTACAGATAAAAGTATAAATTTTATTTCCATACACACAAATGAAGCTTTGCAGATAAATGAAATAAAATTGAGTGAAATACCTAATTTTACTCACCAGAGACTAAGAAGTGAGTCAGAAGGCCAATGGTCAGTGCTACCACTGTCAGTGACAACAAAATGAGAAGCGCAATCATCCATGGCTTTAGCTTTCTGTTTTGGGTGCCAAATCCTACAGGTCTGCAAAAAGAGAAGCCCAATGGTTATTTTCACATTTCAATGGGTATAAATTTACTGGTTCTCCTTGGATAAATTCATGTTGCTCTAGCCCGCCTTTTACAGAAAGAGGACATTTGTCTTTTATTTTGGTTAAGGTCATCTTGGCCTGAGGGGAGGTATTAGTTAAAAGAATCAGGATCTGAGAATCCTAATGCTGTTCCTTGTTTCTATTTCTACAGGCACTTGGTGGCCAGGTCTGACTGCTCTTAGCAATGTGGTACAAAGTAGCACACGTGCTTCTTGAAAAAAGACCATTCCTCCTTTCTCCAGTGTTTTGTCATCTCTTTTTATCTATTCTTTTAGGATTTACACAGTGACTTCAAATATACTATATTTCTTACCTTATTTTATTTTGAAATATGAAAAATTTCAGACATATACAAAGTTAGAATTATATTTAAACATCTATATGTCAATCACCTCTTTTTATCAATTGTTAATATTGTTGCTGAATTTACTTCATTTTTTGCTGCTGCATTATACTGTGAAATCAGACATCACTACTTTTTTGCTAAATCATTACTAGAATCAGTTAGAATGTGTCTAACATAAATCAGTACCTCATTAAAATTCCTGAAAAATTAATTCTTCTCCAATATCTTCTAAAACTCATTTGGTCTTTATGTTTGCTTTATTGTCCTCATTATATTTACTAATGATTTGTAGAGATATAATCAAGGACCATGTAGTAAATATGGTCATTATATTTTTAAGTGTCTTAATCTAAAGGAGTCCTGCTTCCTTAAATTATTTTTAATTTTTAATTTTTTATTTTTTTGTATTAGGGATTTAACTCATGGGAGCTTAACCACTCAGTCATATCCCCAGACCTTTTTACTTTTTATTTTGCGGTAGGGTCTTATTAAATTGCTGAGGCTGACTTTAAACTTGTGATCTTTCTGCCTCAGCCTCCCAAGCCACTGGGATTACCACCACATGTAGGTGCCCTTTTAATTTTTAATTACAATGGCTTGTTGAAGAGATCAAACTAATGGTCCTTTAGAATGCCCGGATTTATGGACTTGTCTGAGTGCTTTCTTGTGGTGTCAATTAACTTGCTGTTCTATCTCTATCATTTCCTGTAAGCTGGAAGTTAGATCTAAAGCCTTGATTTGATTTTGGTTAAATACATTTGGCAAGGCTACTTCAAATGCAATGCTGCTATATTGTATCACACCAGGAATGGAGGAAACTCCAATTTTGGAGGGAAAAAAAAATAACTCTGCTTTTCTTCTTTTAGCACCTTGTAATTAACAGTTATGTTTATCAAGTATTTGTTTGCTTGAATGCTTATTTGTTTGCATGACTATTTAACTGGAACTCCTCAATAGGCTGCACAAATATTGTTCATCTTTTACTATTAAATCCTAGACAGGTGCTTGATACAGAGTTAGAATTTGATTAATCTATGGATGTCAGGCAGGTATTATACCAATCATATATATGAAATAACAGAGGTTAGGAGAGATACCTGCTTTGTTAGAGTCAAGTGCCTTAGGAGGCCCACTTTATTAGTTTATCATTTCATGTGTGTATATTAATAACCAAATTTCTAGTGGAACAAAAGATATTTCTCATATTTTCTTCACAGGATTTATTGCAATGTTTTGTGCTAAGTATACTTTAATAAATATTTGTTGATTTACAAGAAATTTTTCTTTTGAAAATAAACCATTTTATACAGATGCCAGGATAAAAGGTACAAATAATTTGCTTAAATTGCTAAGAAAATAATAGATTGAGCATAAGAAAAGAATGTAGCCAATAAACCAAATAGAATTTGAAAGACCTGAATTCTGTTGAGTATAGAAAATAGCCAACCATATGAGCACTAATTGATTAAAAATGATCTAGAGAATTGGCTGTGAAAAGGCATTGTGTCCTCTGATAGACAAGCTAAGTACTTTCAAATATAACAACAGATGGAAGGTCCACAGGGTATGACATTATGTAATCCCCTAAATGGCTTAAAACCTAAACTCAGGAATAAACAAAAATTAGAGATTATTTAGTATAATTTAATCACTTTCCAAATGAGGAAACTGAGGTTCAGAGATACTAAATGGTTTCTCCCATAAAATAGAATTTGTAGTTTCTGAAACTCAGGTCTTCTACCTTTTAGGACACAAATTTATTCTCAGTGCTAGACTGCCTTTCCACTGACTGCATTTTAAATCTTGAATACATTTATCAGTTATGTATTCATCTTTTCACTCACTCATATATTTTCTACTTGTTAGATCTTTCCTTTTCTCAGAGAATCTTAGCAGTGTGACTTCAAGACATTGGAAAACAAAAACAAAATGAAAAAACAAAAGGCTAGAACTCAAGGATATTTACAAGCTTTTTACTCATCTCCTGTTTATAGTACTGTTTCTCTGAGTTGAACAAATGGAGAAAGTGGATAACAGAAAGCTTACAACCCTGCTGCCCAGGCACACTTAAACTCACATTCTTATGGACTAAATCATGGGTCATGAGCAGAAGAGTGATTCAATATTATTGACACTCTGCTCAAGTGCCACAGAGGTCAAATCTTAAAATCCCATAAAGGGAGCTGTGAGCATCTGGTGGAAAATGTTTACCAAAAACTAGTGTTAAAAGCTGATATTTTGGGGCTGGGGATGTGGCTTAAGCGGTATCGCGCTCGCCTGGCATGCGTGCGGCCAGGTTCGATCCTCAGCACCACATACAAACAAAGATGTTGTGTCCACCAAAAAAAACCTAAAAAATAAATATTAAAATTTTCTCTCTCAAAAAAAAAAAAAAGCTGATATTTAGACTGTTTGTCCTTATAAGAACACCTTGGGGAATACAGGTCATGCACAACATTGAACTGTAAAATCTGAAGAAGCGATGCATTAAAGCTATAGCTATTTAATTCTTTATGAATAAACATTCAGCTTACTACTGAAAGTTTATGAATATAAACATGCAATGCATGGAAACAAAAATGTGTCATCACTTTCCTATTCTGGGGAAAGTGTGTTAGTCATTTGCTTAAAATCACTTCAGATTTGAAAAGACATAAACTTAGTAAAGACTTCTGGAATCAAGCCTATTTGAAAGCACAGATGGAGCATTTTGTTTGTGTATTTTTTTTCCTGCTTTACTCACACCCATAAAACAAGCACAGGTGTACTGATTTTCTGTTGCCATGTCAAAAATTACCACTTTATTTTGCACTGTAAAGAAATATCCATTTATTAGCTCCCAGTTCTGTATGTGGCATGGTTGTATGAGAGCTCTTCTCAAGCTCTCATACAGCTAAAATCAAGGTGATGTTGGAGCTGCTTTTTTCATCTGAGATTTATGATCCTCTTCCAAGCTCACTCAAGTAAAAGCAGAACTCAGTTCTCTGAAGCTGAACTGAGGTCTCTAGATTAGTGTTAGATTCAATAACTGTAGGAGGTGTATGTATACTATAGGATAGGGATCTTGTAGCCATCTTAGAATTTTGCTGACCATAGCTAAAAATATTGACTTTACTGAAAATTGATGGAAAACTGTAACCTTCAAAGAAAGCATGTGAGAGTTAAGCTTCTTTAATTTTTATAGAGGGGAACTATTCCAGAAAAACAGAATTCTGTCCTGGGGAGAAAACTTAAAAAGACAAGGGGGGTATTTCATTCAGGTAATAATTTCATGAATACAAATTGAACCATTGGCAATTGAAATGGAAATAGATCTAAAGGTAATCCCTAATCATGAGGTGTACTCTGCATTGGCACTCTGCATTCTTTAAAGGAAAGGGAAAGTATAAATGATTCTTATTCTGAGCAACACAACCTATAATTTCTGTGAGATCCAATTTATCATATTTACTAAGCCTTCATTCAGGCAATATTATTAAGATGGTATAAGGGTGTATTCATGTCATGTTTTTTTTCTTAAGACTCTGTCAAAGAACCATGGTAATAATTGATTTTGTGAATTTACATTCTAAAATCTTAAAAACTAAAAGAGACACACTTTGAAGAATACAGAGAACAATATGGATTGTTGAAGATCATAGTTGGAATATGCAATTTCTCAGTAATTTTCCTATATGTGAGTTCAAAGATAACTTGAGTTAAGCAAAGGATATTATGAGCCCCCTCCCCACAGGGATCTGCTTTTTCGCTAAAAGACAGCCACTATTTCAACCATATGCCCTTTATCATTTTATCTATATGCTCCAAATCTTTCTTCTTTCAGGTTTAGTTTTCTGCTTTCTTGCAGATATATGTTATCATTATACAAATGCAGGTGCATGTGACTATTATACAAATTCCCATGTATAGATCGGTTATGTTCCCACAACCCTTAATAAAAAGTATTTTGAAGTTCAGATTACACTGTCAGATATAAAAAGGAATAAATTGTTGCACAGCTTACCAGGTCAACCTACAAGTCTACTTAACTCCTAATGTAACTGAACAAAGATGCTAAATGTACTCAAGGAAGCCAATGCATGCAGAAAACTTTGCTTTCCTTTTCCTAGCCTGGGGCCAATGAACCAAAGTGCTAACTCTTCTTCCACCAGTGAAAATTGTGATTCCCTCTGAGCCACTAAATCAGTCATTTCCTACAAGGACAGCAGTCTTTCATGACAACTTTATATGTTCTGATACATTGATATCTGGGTATTCTATAAGTCTCTGAGAATGAATATTTAATACCAAAGGTAATAGGAGCAAGAGCTACTATTTTATTGATATATTTTCACATTTCCTTCTTCAAACACTCTTGTCATTTCACAGGTGAATAACTGATGGATAAATAACTTGCTCAGTATGCAAAGTTAGGATTCAGCTTTATAAAAAAATTTATTTTTATTTGTATCCAATGTGTAGTAAGTTGACATGTTTATGGGATACAGTGTGACATTTCACTACATGTACACAATATATAATGATCATATCAGAGTAACTGTATATTGATGACCTCAGATATTTATCATTTCTTTGGGTTGGAAACAT